TAAATATTTATAGAGCTCTCCACTTCAAATACACAAAATATACATTCTTGTCAATACCAAATCACACCTACTCATAGGTTTAAATGAAACGTTGATTGGCCATTATTAATAGCCATTTTTTTTTCAGAATAAAGCAATATTTCCGTTCACCCTCCCTCTCTCTCTTCCTCTTTCTTTCTCTCCTTTACTCATTTTTTTTTCTTTCCTTCTCTCAAAAAAAAGAAATCAACTTGTAAACCTCTAGATCCAGGTTGGCAATGTCTCTCTCATTGCTTGAATTCCTTCCTTCCCTTTCCTCCCTCCCTCCCTCCCCCCTCTTCCTCCCTTCCTTCCTGCATCCCTTCCTTCCTCCCTCCCTTCCTCCTTCCCTCCCTTCCTGCCTCCCTCCCTTCCTCCTTCCCTCTCTAAAAAAAAATAAAATAAACAATAAGAGCTAATGATCCTAACACCCAGATACATAGAGACTTAGACTCAATGAGACAGAAAATTAATAAGGATATCCAGGACTGGAACTCAGATCCGGAACAAGTAAACTTAATAAGTATTTATAGAGCTCTCCACTTAAAATACACAAAATATACATTCTTGTCAATACCACATCACACCTACTCATAGGTTTAAATGAAATATTAATTGGCCATTATTAATACCCATTTTTTTTTTTAGAATAAAACAACATTTCCGTTCTCTCTCTCTCTTTTTCTTCCTCTTTCTTCCTCTCCTTCACTCCTTTTTTTTTCTTTCCTTCTCTCAAAAAAAAAAAAAAAGAAAGAAAAAGAAATCAACTTGTAGACCTCTAGATCCAGGTCGGCAATGTCTCTCTCACTGCCTGATTTCCTTCCTTCCCTTCTCTCCCTCCCTCCCTCCCTCCCTCCTTTCCTTCCTCCCTCCCTCCCTTCCTCCTTTCCTCCCTCCCTCCCTTCCTCCTTTCCTCCCTCCCTCCCTTCAAATAAATAAATAAATAAATATTGTCTTTCTCTTTATCCTTCTTGTACTTCTATAGAATTTAAGATCCTTGGGCCGGTCGCGTGGCTCACACCTATAATCCTAGCACTTAAGGAAGCAGAGGCATGCGGATCACTTGAGGAGATAAGAAACCAGCCTGGCCAACATGGCGAAACCCTGTCTCTACTAAAACATACAAAAATTAGCTGGTGTGGTGGCACGAGTCTTTAGTCCCTGCTACTCAGAAGGTTGAGGCACGAGAATCTCTTGAACCTGGGAGGCAGAGATTGCAGTAAGCCAAGATGGCACCACTGCACTCCAGCCTGGACGACAGAGCGGAGAGAGCAAGACCCTGTCTAAAATATAAAAAATAAAAAATAAATCCTACAATCTTATAACAATTTGAAATATTATTTTATTACTAGGCTTCAACGAAATCATAAGATCGTGGAGTCAGTCAAAATCAAACATTTTAAGATGCTTCGGGATCAGAATTTTGGTTGCAAGAACTAAACAGCTCCAATTATATTTTCTTATGCTATGGACAGGGAAACATTTTTACATTATTTGAAAAGCTTGATGTCCTAAACATTCTTTCTAAATTGATTTACTTCTGTGCGGTCTGTTTGGGGTGAAACAAAGACCAGGAGACTCTTTTCCTCTGTCTTTAAACTAGTACATAACTTCTGTTTAAGGGTCTAGTGACAACTGTAATGGATAATTTACAACCTACAGGGCTTCTGGATTAAATAACAGAGGTTCTGTAAACCAACAGGCTTCAGACTTCAGCGAAAGCACCGAAAGCACCATAATTTGTTTATTGCCCTTTCTCAGTTCCTCAATTACAATTGATCTCTGCTAAACAGTCTAGTGTTGCTAATTGTTGGGAAAGGGGGAAAATAACTTAATCTTTATAGACATCTTCTAGCCAAGGATTTCTCCTTATAATTCAGTGCCATAATCTCACCTAAGCACGGTTAAATGGATTCCATACACCTAGCCATAGGAATTACTTTCAAAATTAATGTATAAACAAAGTTAAAGTAGCTGTGGTTGGAACAGAAAAAAAACAATGGTGACTGATTGTATCTGATATTGAGCCAATGACAGACAAACAAGAGCACTTGATTAGAGCTCTTGTCTTGCCAGATCACTTATTTGAATTCTACTGATAGGAGTTTAATCAGCACTTAATCTCCTTATCATGTGTAGGGTGTTGATCAACTTTAAGTACTTAACATTATACAGAACCCTTACAGGCATTTCCACTTCAAAGCCTGACGTGCAATGGTTAGGGGTCTCCTAATCTTATTTTTCTCCATTAAGGGTGTTGAAAAGAAATGCTGTCATCATCAACTAACCATGTTCTTAGTCGTTTAAACTTCCAAATTGTTTGTTTGAGAAAAGTTTGACTTATTTGTAGTAAATCATCATTTTCTGAACCCACTATTTTAGAAACTGAAAAAAATACTATACATATATGTATGTGGGTTTGTATAAAATATGTTCCAGTTTACAGTTTAACTTCTGAATTATTTTAGAAAGTCTTGCTTATTTATGCTAAATCTTTATTTCTTTGACCCAATATATTGGAAATTAAAGAAATACATACACATATACATATATGTGTGTTTGTAGTTACACTAACTTATCACTTTAATATAATGTCAGTAGAATGTCCAAATGGAAAAGTAGTACATTAAAACACAAAGCAAAAACATCCTTCAAATATTTTCAGCATCATGTTACAGGTAAAGTTCAATGACTATTTCTGACTTAGTGAGAATTCCACATTTCCACATTAAAGTTCTTCCTTTATTCCTTATAGTAGCCTAATGAGAGAGAGTGGGGATATGAACTATATAATTGCTATACATTAAAGCCATTTACTTCATTGTAAGGTGTCCTCCTGAGTATTATCTATCCATAATGATTTTTTGCTAGAATTTAAGTATTTGTCATGTGAATTGTTTTCAGGTATACAGAACAGACTAAAGTTACTTCTTTAAAAAAAAAACAAGTAAAATTCTTGAAATTGATAAAATAATTAAAACTACATAAACCAAATATTACGCTTCTAGAAACGATAATTTTTGCATTTAATGTGTAATATACTTTTATTAATATTTCAGTTGCTTCATGTGTTCAATGTCTACTTAACTTTTTATGGCAACATATATCCAAAACAATGCATAATATCTCTACTTTGTCTAATGTACTTCAATTGGAAGACATCAAGAGAGGAAAGTTATTTTACTATTTGAAAAGAGCAGGAAAGTCAACATTTCAACTCAATTTATGTTAATTATTTAGAAAAAAATTAGAACCAAATTTTAAAAAATCAATTATTTTGTTTTCTCAAATGATTTCATTATTTACATTTTTTTTCAACCGAAACTACTATACATACTTTAGGATATTTTCTTTTATTTTATCTTATCTGAAATAACTTTACTTATTCCTAATTTTAAATACAAACATAGAGTAAGTTGAATGCTAAATGTCCACCATGCAAAAGTGATTGATTGATTGATTTTATTAGTATATTCTCATTTGAAATGGAGGCTTGAGACTAACTGTACAAATAAAAGAGATAAAGAAGGCAAAGCACTTCAGATCTTTCTGTTTTCATAGAAGGATTTGCAGATATTTTATTGCTTTGAAAATTTCTACAAACATTTATAAACATTATAGTATTTCACTTAATTCAGAAAGGTACTGTGACAACTACCCCATACTGTCAAATACATGACATTAAAAAGATAAATTAATATTGTAAATAAAACTAACCCTTTTTAAAAGATATCTTAGAAGTCTGTTTTAATATGTAATTAAAACAAATACATGATAGAAAACTTGATTTATGTGAATGATGTTTTACTAATCTTGGAATTACTAATAGGATTCATTAAGTTTAAATTTGGAAAGGTCATGCATCTCAAAAAATAGGTAACATTGAACTAAATAACAGTGTTGGCTAAGTAGCACTGAGGCATAAGTAGGGAAAAGTAAAATAAAAGTGCATTATTTCTTGACTATGAATGCTTTCTAAAGTAACTCAGATGCTTCCATTTTATTTGAGTATTGCTTTTTGTTTCCTCTATTAAGTAGTGCTTAAAAACCACAACTTCAGTCAATCAGTAAACAGGATCATTACTTCTAAGTGTTTCAGATTCTAAATCAAGGGTTTCATTTAATTTTCCTTGCAGAATAATGCATATAGATGAGGATGTCAAATTGCAAATAACCTGTATTAGAATAGCGTTTACAGTGCTTATGGTAAGTAATCAACATTATTGGCTTAGCTTAGGGATTTAAAATGCTGAAAACACTAACAGAATAAATTGATTGGAAGAATAGAAAAGTACATCACTGTGTTAAAGATTTGAAATGAAAGTGAAACGCATTATATGATTTTGTAGTTTAAGAGTACATGTGCATATATAGATATGCACGTAGATGGATAATGTGGGCATTATTGATTTAAATTCCCTATTGGGATTAAAGAGAGAATGCCTAGTTTCGTTTCAATGGTAATGCTGATATTCATTATCAATATGACAAAACACAAATTAGTGGCTCTGTAATACAGATTTAATGCCCCTGCTGAACTTTTTTCCATTAGTAGCTAATGGCTATTCCTGTTTACCTTCTATGACTCCAAATGCTCATTCCATCTTTTTTCTGTGATCATCACAGTTATACAGGAAATGATTTTGCTAAAAACAAAAATATTCTACTTTATTTTAAAAATGATAGAGCTTGCATCTGTAAACATGACTTTAATTTATGCCTTCTATGATGTGTCAGCATTCTGAAAAAGAATCTTGTTCTGCATTTATAAAATAGAAGTGAAAAATTTCATAACTTGGAATAGTTAGTAAGAAAAAGGCTGTTGCACTTATTAAAATGAAACCTTTTTCCCCCAGAAGAGTGTATATTTTTTAACATATATGCATAAAGAGAGCATTTTATTTTCATTACTAAAAATCTTTTTATCATGGTAAACAAATCTATTCATTAAATTGCCTTTCTCTTCTATATAGCAACCGCTTATTTTTAGAATGACTTTCAACTACTAAATTGAAATTATTTTAAAGAAAGAAGAGTATAAAAACTCTTATTAATTTATTTTAATTAAACCCATTACAATAATCCCTGGAGAGAAAACAATTAAACATTGAATAAGAAACCATAAAAAATGAAGTTCATTTCCTCTTTGCATTTGAGTTCCCTTAGTCATCTCTTTTTCTCCAAATGAAGCCGTTAAGTATTGTAGATTTTTTTAAGTGAAATAGCATAATTTTAAATGAGGTTATGATACTAATACTTAATATTATTGCACATCTACTATATACCAACACTATTCTAAGCATTTAATGTGTTCACTTAATTCTCCCAAACAAACCTATGAGATAGAAATTCATTATTTTTCTCATTTTACATTAAGGGAGAGTCAAAGCATATCATCAATAAAGTGAGAATACCAACCACAAAATGGGAGAAAATATTTGCAAATCCTATGTCACATATGCAAATGAAAACCACAATGAGATACCACTTCACAACCACTATGATGGCTATCATCAAAAAGACTGGTAATAGTAAGTGTTAGCCAGGATGTGGAGAAATTGAGACCTACATTCACTGCTGGTAGAAGAAAATAGTGTAGTTTCCTGGGAAAAAAAGTTTCAGATGGCCTTGAAAGGACAAACTGAGTTACCATATGACTTAGCAACTCTACTCCAAGGTATACATGCAAGAGAAGTGGAAACTCAGACAAATGTTCATATCAGCATTATTCGTAATAGTTCAAAAGTGGATAGAGCTCATATGTCCATCAACTGATTAATGGGTAAATAAATATAATGTATTCAACATACAATAGAATATTATCTGACAATAAAAAGGGATACAGTGCTGATACATGCTACAACATGGATGAGCCTTGTAAATATTATGCCAAGTGAAAGAAGCTAGACATAAAAGACCACATAATATGTAATTACATTTATGTGAAGTGTCCAAAATAGGCAAATCCATGCAGGCAGCAAGTCAAGTAATGGCTGCCTATGATTAACGGGGTTGGAAGAAATAGAGAGTGACTGCTAATAGTTACGTTTTCTTTTTGAGGTGATTAAAATGTTCTAAAAATGATTGTGGCTGTGCGCAACTCTTTGAATATAGTAAAAACCATTGATTTATATACTTTAAATTGTATGGTATATAAACTATATCTCAATAAAGCTGATACACACACACACATATATATATACACACACATATGCATACACATGTATATGTATGTATCTTTTGAAAGATATTAAGGATGGTACTTTCCCTGAATGACTGTAAAGGGTCCTGGAATAAACATGCAGAATCTGGCTCCAGGGTCTGTGCATGCAACTACCAAGCTTGTTGCTTCTGCTCATGGTATTTTTGCTCTTCAATGTGATAACTGGTTTCACTGAATCAAATATTTTGTTTAAAAAGCCACCATACAACCTGGCTCCAGGTAAAATTTTTCTGAGTGAACATACATGAATACTTCTTTCCAATAAAACAATATGACGTATAGTGAGTAATGATATTGACTAAGTCATTTGCAAGTTGCTAAGAAGGTCAATTTTGAATGCCCAGATTCTTGATAAATCAGCAAAACCTGCAAAGAATGGAGCACATTTAGTTTCTAAAAACAATAAAAAATCTCTTCATAGCTACTTAGAGTTTACATTTTTATTACCTTACCCCACAAAGAGTTGCAGTTATCACCCAACTGTTTTTTAGTCTAGGGAATAAAAAGGACAAATGTCAAAATAAATTTATTATGTTATTATAGTTATTATCTCCATTTCCTTTGGGATTCTGTTTAAGATTTTTGGAAATTTCAGAACAGATTTATAGAACTTCAGAGCAAAGGAACCTAAGAGACTAGTAAAATTGTGCAACTGAAGAAAATGTAACTTAAAGAGGTCAAATAATTTATAAAGGCACTAGATTCTGCTTATTTAAAAGATAATATGGTCAAGGCAACACAGTATTCACTCCTTATACCATTGACTTTCCTTGCAACTCTCTGTAAGATAGATACTATTATTATTTCCATTGTATAGGCAAGAAAACTAAGGAAAAGGTAAGACATTTGCCCACATCATAGACAAGCAAATAATGAATTTGAGATTTGAACCCAAGCCTTTCTGATCTATTCTTAGATAGCTTACAACACCTTAATCACGATCAGTTCCGCAATCTCATCTTTTTTATTAATAAAATTTAAGGGAGCTCTTATCAGAAACACCATGACAAATTTGAATCATATAAAAAAATTGAGACATAAAATAAATATTTGTTCATATTACATTTATTATATTCATGTATTACATTAATATTTTATGAAATAAAATATAATAGAAGCAAAAAATAAAATTTATCTTAAAAAGATTTAATTAGCCAGAATTTGGACTTGAAGAGATATTGTGACAGATTTTAACCTTCAGCCCTAAACAATATATAATGGCAATAAACTGTTTTCTCATCCTGATGCATAAATGAGACAGATTTATACCAGAGAAATGTGCTTGCAGTAAATAATACACAGTTAATTTAATACATTTTCTAAAGTTATTAGTGTAGCTTATAACAAGACTTGCCTCCAAAAATGATAGAATAAAATCAGTCAATTTGGAGTCCCAAAGATACATTCATCATCATTCACAGCATCAAGACCTCTGCAGCAAGAGACACAAGAGTGTTGATGTCTTTGTAATTGCATGTGCTGCTCACTTAGAATGAGACCAACCTAGTTACCCGACATTCCTCTCTGCCTGTCATTCCTCTGCCTGGAATAACTTTTCTCCTCTCTATTCTACATGACTACCCATGTTCAATCCTCTCTCCTTGAGATTTTCAATTTGGAGTCCCTGGAGTTAATTATGAACTCGCTCATAATTGGTTTTGCCCTGCCTCAATTTCAAAGGTAATTAGCTAGAATCAACATTATCCATGCTATAACTTATATACTAATCATATGTTACCGATTATACATTCTATTGACTTGAGTTTGTTTTCACATATTTATTTTTCCTCCTGCCAAAGTGATCATACACTTCCTATGAAGAAAGACTCTAAACTTCTACTGATTTTTCATCCAAATTTTACTGCAAAAGTTACATATATACACTGGAAGAGGCTTACAGACATTAATGTACACGACAGTAAAGACAAAAATACATTTTATTTTTTTAAATTGATTTCACATCTGCCATCCACACCTCATGGAAGCTCTCCACCGGGGTTCCATCAATTCCTGATATGTTATTAGGCTGCAGATCCCTCTACTTTAGAAACTGATGGCAGCCACTTGGATGAAAAGTCCATTCCAAATATAATAAAACTATGTTATGTTGTCGCAGAGTATATTATAATAAGATCATTACATTGCATCATTATTTTTTCTTTGAGAAACTCAATCTTTTCACTTACATTCGCATTGATAAGGTTTTTATGTTTATTAACTGTGATTCATAAATCTTCATTTGGGAAGAAACAGTACTCCCCTTAAAGAGATAAGATATAGGGTGGTAATATTCTTTATTTTTTTCATAACACTTTGTAAGCTTTTAGATGAGATTCTGATTTGCCAGATAAATTATTTTGAGGCAATGAGCAACTTCTAGATCCATGGCATCTCTATCATACAAAACAGTGACATAATCCTCCCATTCCATATATTCATAAGAAAAAAAGTCTTGTTTGCCCATGTGATCTTCCCTCACTTTGCCCTTAGGAATATTAGAATTTCCATTCATTTCTGCTGGGACTCAAAACTTAGTTCTGCTGCAGGCTAGAGTGGGGATATGCTCCATGAAGCAGCAACTCAGAGACTATTTCTCATTGCATGTTATTGCTGCTGCTGGTGATGTTCCAAAGGGCTGCACCTTGGGTGTCTTGCATTATTTTTACAGGCATTTATTTGGGTTAATTATCCCAGCAGATAGAGCATACCTCTATCCATATTCTGCAGGGTTCCCCAGTAGACACAACTTTATATGACCACTCGTTTGAGCTTCCAGTTAATGATGATAGCTACATCCACTGGGGTGGTGAATGGGGCTCTTCCTGTAAGTTCTGTTCATACAGTGTCAGGTAGCTAGTACTGTGTAATACTCAACTGGGGTTTCTATTCTCTTCTCTGCTATTCATCTTTATATATTTTGTTTAGTATCCTTAAATACCATATTTCCTAATCTGAAAAGTTTATGTACTATACAGAATTATATTGTAATAGATAAGGGTTAAATACCACCACCACCAACAAAAACTTGTTTAAGAAGCTTAGAAGCTCCCGTGATTTCAATTAGATATAGACCAGAAAAGATTCTGTGCTCCTTCCTACAAACAAATTTAGGAAAAAATAAAAGAGGTGTTAGGTAGCTTTTTCCCTCCAGGAATTTTTAATATTGCCCTATTGAAATATGAAAGTATATAATGTAAATGCATTATAGTTTCATCACTTGACTCTATTTATCACTCTGCATTTGAAATGCATTTTATCAGTTCTACAGGTTCACAGTACTTTATCCACAATTCTAAAACTCTAAAAGATCTGAAAACTATTTTCAAATGGTGCTGACTCCAAATAGCATTCGGTGGCAAAATCTGACTCAAATCAACATTTATCCACTTAGTGTAAATGGTCATATGTTTTATTTTAGAAATATTTATAAGTTTGATTTCAGGATATTGACCCAGTCCTCACTGGCAATGTGATGTAATACATGGTATATGCACTGTATTGTCTTTCTCAGTGCTAAAAATTCTAAATTATGAAAACATGTTTGGCCCCAACAGCTTTACATACAGGGTGATGGATCAATGGCTACCTAGCTCAATGCTAGTACTAACATAGGAACTATGCCTAAAGTGTATGTGTGTATATATCTACACATATAAATACACACACACCACAATAAACCCACAAAATTGGAAAAAGAAGGCAAGAATCAGGAGAAAAATTAAGAGTATGTTAAACTTCAGGCCATATTCAACATTGTACTGTACAGAATAAAATTTAAAACATCATAAATGACCACAAATAGAATATTGGCTGAATGTATTCAGGCACATCTGTAAAAGGGATACAGGTAGCCATAAAAATGACACTAATATAGAGTATTTGATGACATAAAAAGAACGTTTATACTACATTATTAACAGAAAATCAGATCATCACAATTCAAATAAAATAAAACTTTTATAAACCTGCATACATACATATAAATCAATGTGAGCAAATGCACAACAATAGACTAATGGTTATTTCTGAATGAGGGATTTTTCAATGGTTTTTATTTTCTACACTTTGCTTTTCCTTTAATTTCTTTTTATCATAAAATTTTATTGCTTCTGTTTTTTAAGTTTTTGTTTTGTTTGTTAAGAAAACCTAAGAGAACGTGAAAGAAATAATCTAGACAAACAGTTGAAGGAAAAGCAGATGACAACTGAGCCTCAAATGCTAAATAATCACATGCCTTTCTTTGCTGTATATATGAAGAGCTGGTTCAGTGCTTGTTTGCTCTGGTGGGTAAAAGTTCATTTCATGAAAAGAGAATTAAACAGAAAATCACAGAGAAATTTTAGCATTTATGGGCTGTGCTTTGTATACGAAGATAATGTTATTGACTCCTTGACACTGAGGAAACTTCAGTATTTCTTCATGGCTGCAATTACCCAATTTGGGAAATGAACCAGACACCAGAGCTTCATCTAGATGACAGTTTAGACATAAAGTGCTGTGGCTGCCATTTTTTTTGTAGTTTCAATTGCATGCAGCAAAGCAATAATGTACAGCCCTAAACTCCCATTCTCTTCAAAGACTATACACTCTTTAAATAAACAGTATTTTAAATTAAGAATGCAAATATTACTCCCACTCAGCAAACTGTAAGTGGCGTCATCTTTGTTGTTATAATACAATACGTTAATAAGCATATAAAATCTTTTTTAATTGAAGTGCTGCATAATAGAAAAAAATTTGCAATAAAAATAGGCATCAATCTGGGCCTTTTGGGGAGTTCCTAACACAGAACCTTGAAAGGTAATCTAAATATTGATCTAAACTGCCCATACTAATCTCCAGGTCTTCAAGCCATATTGTTCCATATTCTGGATGATTCTTTCTAGGCTGGGGCTAATGGTAAAAGTTATAAAGTATTTTGTTAATGAATCAGAAAATACCTATTAAATAGCCTTTGTGTATATGACCTCTTTATTTTTAAAATCCAGAGAATAAGTCACTTCTTGTTCTTGGAGAACTTATATTCTATTTAGAAAGAACAAATATTCGTAGATGTAAGTAAATCATAACTCAAAAATTCAAAATAGTCCTTGTCAAGAGATGTTACAAGCCTGCACATAATTAAGGCTAAATGTCTGCAAGTATTTTTAAGTCAGAATATTGTTTCCTGGGATTTGGAGATACATAATGCAAGTCCATGAAGAGGGAAGGGCTTCAAACATGCCTTGACAAAGTTGCAGGAAATGAGCAGAGAAGAGAAAGCACTTTCCAGACGGGGCAATAGTATAAGGCAAGATTCAGAGAAGTCGAAAACAAGGACTATGTAACAGCTAAGATTCCCTGGGGGGTTACTACATGCACCACAC